GTCTTCGGTGGAGCTCCCTATAGGGCCACAAACTGTGTGAGCGGTGTGCCCAAACGGGCGTCGGGCGAATGTGGCATGTGCCACTGGGGCCTTCGGTGGACCTCCCTATGGGGCCACGAACCGTGTGAGAGGTGTGCCAAAATGGGCGTCGGGCGCATGCGGCCTGTGCCACTGAGGTCTTCGGTGGAGCTCCCTATAAGGCCACGAACTGTGTGAGGGGTGTGCCCAAACGGGCGTCGGGCACATGCGGCCTGTGCCACTGGGGCCTTCGGTGGAGCTCCCTATGGGGCCACGAACCGTGTGAGGGGTGTGCCAAAATGGACGTCGGGCGCATGCGGCCTGTGCCACTGGGGCCTTCGGTGGAGCTCCCTATAGGGCCACGAACTGTGTGAGGGGTGTGCCAAAATGGGTGTCGGGCGCATGTGGCATGTGCCTCTGGGGCCTTCGGTGGACCTCCCTATAGGGCCACGAACCATGTGCCACTGGGGCTCTCGGTGGAACTCCCTATGGGGCCACGAACCGTGTGAGGGGTGTACTCAAATGGGCGTCGGGCGCATGCGGCCTGTGCCACTGGGGCCTTCGGTGGAGCTCCCTATGGGGCCACGAAATTGTTTGACATGCGGATAGCAGAAGCAAGGGATGGGAGTAGGGGGAGGAGGAGAGGAGAAGGAAGGAACGCGGGACACTGTCTCTTCAAAACGAAGACCCAACACCACAGGTTGGTTGGGAAAAGCTGCAAGAACTGCACGGATTGAGGACGGTTCCGTTTCAAATTCTGGCTCTCGCTTTCGCGCCGCGCACATTCGTTTCAACATTTGCACGAGCTTCGCGGATTGAGGGCGGCTGCTTTTCAAAATGCGGTTCTCGCCTTCGCGCCGCGCACGCGCGCTGCAAACATCTGCAGCCATGGCGAAAGTACCAGAACCGGTATTTTGGGACGACTCGGGATTGTCAGGGCGCACCCCTCTCGCTGATGCGCGGTGTGGACGTCCCGGGAATGGCGTCCTGGCACGACTCCCGACCGTCAGGGCGCAGCAATCGGGCTGATTCGTGGCGTTGAGAAGTCTCGGAAAATGCCGTTCTGGCACTCTTCAGCAGGTTCTTCTCGCCGCTGTCTCCCAACAGGGCACCTGATGATTTCAGCATCGCTGATGGGTCTTGGTTTCGCACTGGTCCTCCTCCTCCTTGTCCTCCTGCATCCATCCTCCTCCTCCTCCTCCCTCCTCCTCCCCCTCGTTCCTCACCCATTCCTGCTCATTGCGAAAATGCGTCCCTCTGGCGTCCCGAGGCCCGTCGGAAGGGAGGACCCGGCGTTTCGCCCGAGACATCCTCACCACTCACGACCCGAGAGCTCTAACATTGGCAACAACTTCACGGACTGAGGGAGGGTGGTTTTCAAAATTGAAGGGACCCTGGGACACACAAATAAATACACACAAATAAACATATTCCCCATATTTTCCCATATTTTTTGGATTTTCATCTTCCCCCCCACTTCCCATATTTTCCCATATTTTCCTAAGAATCGACGAATAATTGTGTCTGTGTGTTTTTTCCCCTCCTGAAAAATGTGGCTCTCGCCTTAGCGCCGTGGACATTCGTCTTAAAATGCTGCAAGAGCTTGACGGATTGTGGGTGGGTGGTCTTCAAAGTGTGGCTCTCGCCTTAGCGCCGCGCGCACTCGTCGAACACATGTGCAAGGCCTTCACGGAGTGATGACGGCTCCTTTTTCAAGATGTGGCTCTCGCCTTGGCGCCGCGCGCACTCGTCTTCAAAACTTGCAATAGAAACCCGTCCCTGCCCACAAGAAAGAGGTCGGCGAGCCCAAGGCGATATGACAGTCTTGGGGCCTCCATCAGAAACGGAGGCGGTGGCAGCCTGAGGGAGGTGCCCTCAGAAACTGATCGGCACCGAGGTGCCCTCCACGAGTCTTGTATGACAGCCCCCCCAAATAATAGGAAACATCTATGTCTTGCGCGGGTTTGTTGACGGATCGGGGCCTCAACAATACAGGGAAAACAACCATTCCCCTGGGGAGGCCACCACTGATGATCGTGGGGGGGATAAGGATACGAGTTAAATTCAGAAGAAAAGAAGACGCCATAGACGCAAACTGTTTGCGCTACTCGCGGACTTCTTGGATCTGCGCTGGACCCCCCTCCCCGGCGTGCGGAGCGCGCCAGGGGCGGCGCCGGAGGCGCTGCCAGGCCGCTGGGGGGCCCCCAGCGCGGATTCAAGAAACCCGCGCGGACCGCCAAAACTTTACGCTTACGGCGTGGTTTTCTCCTTCCTTCAAGCTTAGGGGAGGGGGCCCCTGGCAGCATCATGAAACGACCTACTGAGGTTAAGGTGATGCCGGGTCAAGCTGGTGGGATCCCGTGCCCAGGATGGGCACACATTGCCCCCCCGCGGCAATCCGAGCCGGGAGGGCGTGCAGACCGATCCTGGGCCCAGGACCTGCGGGAACAGAGGCATACCGCTACCCAGAGGCCTCCCAGAC